AGAAAAGGAAGAAGCATGTACAGAAAATGGATGGATGGATGGATGGATGGATTTATTTGATGTTAATCTGAATCAGTTTAGTGTTGTTTGTAAATATATTTGACAGTTTTGTAGGAATGAACACGTTTGTAATGTTTCTTCAAAATAAACCTGCTTATGACTTCTGTAACATGTTTTAAATAAAATATCAGTAAAAACCTCAAATGATGTCCTTTCTAATAATTATTAGAACTCTAGTAGAACTTTAACTCTTGTAGAAATAAAAGACAACAGTTAGAAAATGCAACTATCAAAAAACTTCCTGAAAATAATTTACTTATCACATTTTAAAGACCGATTCTAATCTGGGCCGTTAAGGGTTAATGCTCCTGAACAGGACTGTCTGACCTGCAGTGTGTGTGAGTGACAGATGAGCTCAGCTCTGTTTGAGTCCAGTATGACCTGTGGACTAACAGCAGCTCATTCTGTCTGTATTTAAGCTGTTTTGAGTTCACAAACTACTTAGTAGAGGACATTACATTTGCTCGTAGCTGATCAGCGCTGTTTATAGAACATGAATGGACTCGCGGGAACCTGGTTGCACGCGGGGTCTGTGTTTGTGGTGCTGAATTATATAAAAGTAATTATTGATAAGGTAACCATGCTGTGACTTCACCTGTCACATTTTCTTTTAAAGAAAGAAAAAGTAGCTTGCAAAGCTGTCGCATTGGTACTACGTGATTTAAAAAAAAGCAGAGTTTTCATTGCGCATCTAATCACACACATACACGCATCTTTCTATCTTTGTGAGGACCACACACAGCGCTCAGCCTCACTCTGCGCCATCTTTTTTTCCCCCCAAGTTTGGCGAGAGTTGGATATGGAGGGGAGCAAAAATAGCTCTCGATTTGATCTGGCCTTATTTAAATAAAAATGATTACATACCATGAAATTCTTGGAGGAACGGGCCGTCTCGTTGGCGAGGGGCCCGCCCTCCTTGTATAATGTTAGGGGTAACGTTATGTGTGTGTTTATAAATTTATAATATTTTTTTTATTCAGATCTCTGCTGGTTCATTTGGAGAATGGCTACTTGGTCAAAGGTCTGGACCAGTTCTGTTCACATTTGCACTTCTACAATAAATATGTGGACAACATCTACAATGCCAAAAAAGTGCTTGAGGTAAGAAATCTAGATTTCTGTTTTTTACTTTGTGAAAAGTAAAAATTATTCATTCGTTTAAAATACAATGACTATGTCTCAATTCATGGGTTGCAACCGCTGCAGACTACAGCCCACGTTGGCCACAGTTACAGGCTTGGACACAAATGTGTCTTCCCAATGTACAATGGGTCGAAGCATATGGCCAAACTGGTTACAAAGTGGCTCAAGGATAACAAAGTCAATGTATTGGAGTGGCCATCACCAAGCCTTGATCTCAATTATATTTAAAATTTATGGACAAAGCGGAAGTCATGTGTGAGCAAGGCAGCCTACAAACATGGCTCGGTTCCACCAGTTCTGTCAAGAGGAATGGGCCAAAAATCCTGACAACTGTTGTGAGAAACTTGTGGATGGAGATCCAAAACATTTGACCCAATGACATACAGTTTAAAGGCAATGTTACCAAATACTGAAGTGTATTTAAACTTTTGAATTTGAAGAAAGTAATAAAAAAATTCTCACTTATTTTGGCATTTAGCAAATAGACGAAAATTTAATAATCCTAACTGACCTAAAACAGGAAAAGTTTAACACAATGCTGTTAATGTGTGTATGGTTACTTTTAGTATTATTAGACTTTTTTCTTTTGATTGCAATTTTTAGTTTTTAATCTAAACAAAATCCCAACTCCACCGTTGATGGAAACACTCGGCGTGGAATGCATAGTTGTGACACTTAACTTTGAGAAGGATCTTTCCCTTTCTTCTGCTTTTAGATCCAGCTGAAGAAAAATAAGGCCTTCAGACGTTTCAAGAAACTACAAGAAGCTCGACCAGAGTTCAACAACCAACAGCTGGAGGACTTACTTCGAACGCCCCTTCAGCGAATCAAGCAGTAAGACCTCTGCTTTTTGGTCACATGAAATAGTGAACTTCCTCATTGTTCTTCTCCATCTGCTTTATTTTAAACCTTTCATAATACTTTTGCATTGTTAGACTTTAAGCTAGGTTTGAGAAATGAAAATAATCAATGTTTTAGGGTAATGGTGGTTAGTGTTAGCAATAAGTGGTTGTGACTGGGAGGGTCGTGGCAATATGCTATGTTACTAATTTTATGTCAAAGCCACTTATCCTGTTGCTATAATCTCTGTGCTCCACCCAGAAGTCACAGAACTTGCTGAAGGAGGGGGATTTTGATAGGCAGACAGCACGGTTCTGTTGACAGAAAGACGTGCCCTTCTTAGATAATGTTGGGGAAACACTACAACACTGAACATGGAGCACAGGGAGCTGAGGACAGAGTCACAGGAGCTTGGGAAGACGATAATCAACATCAGCAGCTTAAAAAAGAGCCCAGAACATCATCCAAAGATATTAGGAGTGAACTCTAATGTCAAGAGCCATTAGTGTCGGATTGTACCGCTGATCATAGTTTGAGTCTAATTGGACTTAATAGAAGACGAATGAGGAGGACTCCTAAGCATAAAAATGTGGGACTGGAATTTGCTAAAACATGTATTGACAAACTACAAATAGAAGGACAAAGAGAATGTCCTTTGGGTAGACTGGGGGAAAAGTTCTCTCAGCTCAGTGTTTATAAACTCACTAGGTGAAAACTAGAAATAGAAGAACCCTTACCTACAGTGAAACATGGAGGAGCTTTGGTTCTCTTCTGTTGCTGCTTTGCTTTATTTGAGAGGAGGCATTGTTGCATTGTAAGCTCCTGCTCAGCCTGCCTCCGTCGGCCCAGCCTTATTCTACCTACCCTGGTTGTGTTTGAATTCGAGGCGGCTGTGGTAGAGTGGTTAGGGGAGTCGTCCTGGAACCGGAAGGTCACTGGTTCGATCCCCGTCCAGTCAACTCAGTCGTTGTGTCTTTGGGCAAAACACCTTACCCGCCTTGCCTACTGATGGTGGTCAGAGGGTCCGGTGGTGCCTGTGTATAGCAGCCTCGCCTCTGCCGGTGTGGCCCAGGGCAGCTGTGGCTACAATTGTAGTTTGTCATCATCAGTGTGTAGATATGTGTGTGGATGGGTGATATCTGTAGTGTGAAGCCTTTTGAGTGTCCTGGATGGATAGAAAGGCGCTATATAAGTACAGTCCATTTACCATTTGAATTCAGCAGAGAGCCACCTCGATGTGGGCGGGATCATAATATTAAACATGTGCAAATATTATTTTGTTGTATTTGCGATGCAACAATAATGGACTACACCAAACTTGAAGGAAAAGTACCAAAGGCTGTACGTGACCATCCAGCATTATGACACTTAGCCTTACGAGGAGAGGCCAAGACAACTGAGGATGGTGAGCTAATTGTAGCTAATGGTAGCTTGCTACAGTTGTATAGGTAAACACCTGTGACAAAAACCTTAGTCACTCCAAACAATTCACGTAAAGTTACTCTCATCTGTGTGATGTAATCCCCCCTGAAGTAAAATTTGCTGTCAGAATGATAACAAACCAAAACACAGCTAAACCTCAGATCTGAGAACCAAACATTGGACTAATCTAAGTGTCCTGATCTAAGTCCTGTTGAACATCTGTGAAAGGAGCTGAAACCTCTGGGGGAGCAGTTCTTCAGACCTGAGACAACTGGAGCAGTTGGTTCATGGTCCGGACCAAAATACCAGTAGACGGTAGCTTTTAAATAATTTTGTTGAATCAAAATTCAAAAGCAATGACAGATTTAAATTAAGTGATTTCTTGTAAAAATGTTTTTCTTTTTGTCGTTTTCAACTTATTTCTGTGGCATTTATAGTTTTTTTTTTATTTAAACGAGAGATACAAACAAATTTGTCATTGTCTGTATTGTACCAATATTTCATAGGTTTATTATAAAATAACTCACCAGAGATCCATATACACTCGTCTCATTTATAGGTCTTGACTTGTTTTTTTTTCATACATTATTCAGTCTCCAGCTTAGTGCTGTCTCACACTACCTTTTTCTTTAAACTTCCCATCATTATCATTGATTTTTATTCTGTCTAATTGTATGATGGAGGAGTCTAAGTGTTGTAACTGGATAGCCATCCACGTCTGATACTTTATCTTGCTGGAAATGGCAGGAAATTGTCACTTATCAGCATTCAGCTATGACTGATGGGAAGCAGGGTCTGCAGTGAGGACACTCGTGTTGCTGCCAGGGGAGGGATAAAATCCTTTCCTTTATTAAGTGGCATTCACTGGAGCTGGCTGAAGTAGTCATTAGTGTCTTCCCTACCGAGGTCACCATTATGACAGTTATGGGGTCTCCAGTTGATTGTGGTAGTAAATTGCAGCCCTCTCTGCTTTTATTGGCTCTGTTGTTAGATGATAGAGGCAAAGCTGTTTGGGATGGCAGCAATTGATGGCCTTGAGATAAATCTTTTCTAACCCAGCTGTTATTTAGTATAACAAGCAAATTACTCAGCTCATTGCAGAAAGAAAGCATGCCTTGTGTAAAGACAGTACAGCTCTACAGGTAATGAGGTCTCTGCCTCGGGGTCGTTTATGTGTTCAGCATTAAGAAGTACAAATCTGTGCTGTATACACGCCGTGCTTGGATTTGTTTATCAATTCTCAAGGTAGAAGTTCAAATTCAGATCTTGAACTGCAGCATAGAAAAATATTCAATGTTAGCTCGATATATTTAGATAATCATTTGTTTGTATGTAGATCACTGCCATGTTTCAGGTTGAACCTCAGATAAATTGCGTATATAAACACTCCCCTCTAAAACTGTTGGATCCCTGAGGCAAGCTCTTTTCCTTTTGCTGTAGACTGAAAACATTTGGGTTTAACATCAAAAGCTGAAAACGAGACAAGAGAGCAACATTTCAGCTTTTATTTCCAGGTGTTTGCAACTGAATCAGATACACAACATAGAAAATAACATTTTTTGTGAAGTATGAGACTTTTTTGTGAAAAAATGTATTGGAACAGATAAACTAAAATTGAAGTGAATAACCCTTAATATTAGAGGTGTAAAAAATATTGATACACTACAATATTACAATATTTAATTTCCTGATACTGTATGTGATGTGTATGTACTGTAAAGCCCTGTATCAATTTTTAATTGAGATTTACAATATCTACGGTGAATCATCACCTTATGGTGGAGGAGTTGGTTCACCTGAATGATCCTAGGAGCTATGCTGTCAGGAGCAATTTCAATTGCCCCAGGTAGGGTCTCTCATGGCAGATTGGTCCTAGGTGACAGACCAGACAAAGAATGATTCGACAGACTCTTATGGACAAAATAGATCAAGGAACTCAGTGTCCATTGCCCATACATGGGTTATTGGGGCCCCACCCTGGAGCCAGGCCTCGTCGGCTCAGCCCGAATGAGCTACCGTATTTTTCGGACTATAAGCAGCACCTGCCATTAAAAAAAAAAAAAAAAAAACCCCGCGAATATTAGCATATAAGCTGCACCGGACTATAAAAAAAAACAGTACACCCAAAATTGTCGTCAAAAAAGTGAATTCAACATCAAAACATAAAAAGCAAACCTTTAGGAATTAAAGTTCGGAGGAATACGGTTTATTTAACTGAAATTATTTTGGTAGTTTTCTTTAACAGTTTCTGGTCCAACAAAATGTCTGGATGTGTCCTCCGGCGCACTGAAACCATCGAAGTCCTCCTCTTCAGTGTCGGAGTTAAACAAGCTCAGAAAAGCTGCGTCACACAGCGGTATCTGTTCAGTGTTGCTTTCTGTGTCGATGTCCTCCCGGGGTAATGCTGGCTCTGAAGCTGTGGTGTCCTCTTCACGTAGCAGTCCAGCCTTTCAGAACCCATCCTCTTCACGTAGCAGTCCAGCCTTTCAGAACCCATTGGTGATGGTGGACTCGTTCACCCTGCTCCACGCTGTTAGGATCCACTGGCAGACATCAGGAAATGACGCTCTTCGGATTCGGCCAGTTTTTATGAAGGATTTATCCCCGTTAGTCATCCAAGCCTCCCATTCACCCTTAGTGCTGCTTTAAATGCACGATTCACACTGATGTCCAGGGGTTGCAAAAACTTTGTTGTACCTCCAGGAATAACAGCATGAATTGAGTTTGTTTTCTTGACGGCTGCTTTCACCGAATCTGTGATGTGGGCCCGCATACTGTCCAATATCGTGTCTGTCGAAGATCCGTCATGTCGTGTCTGCTACTAGTTAAAACAAAATGGTGCTACACCTCCGGCTAAGCTGGCATTATGGTCGCTCGGCTGTCAACCGGTTGACGCGCCGTCACGTGGTTGTTTGGTGTTTGTTTTCGCACTGACCTTTCATAGTTCCCCCGAGAAACCCAGAGCCTAGCTGCTGGGAAAGCCCTCCCGCTTCAGCATACGTCACTGCATGGGATTCCTTCCCCGGGGAGTGCAGTGCGGAAAAAAAAAAGGTCCGCGGCTCTTCACTCGACATTTATCCACAAACTGGTCCCGGATTAAGCTCCAAAGTTTTTACCAGTCAGATTCCACCGTGAAAAATGTCTGTTTTAGCCCCTTTTATGAGTTTTTGGCCATTGACTATCTTTAAAAAGCTGCTTCCTGGTACAACAGTCGACTGTGGAAGCGATCGCTTTTTTCTTCTTTTTTTTTTCCTTTCTTTTTTTGAAGCGAGTGGTTGAAGCAAATGCAGCATAAGAGCCCCCTGGTGGCTGAAGAAAAAAATCCACGTATAAGCCGCACCGGACTATAAGCCGCATGGTTCAAAGTTCAGGAAAAAAGTCGCGGCTTATAGTTCGAAAAATACGGTACATGGGTTTGCCTTCCTGTGGACCCGCCACCTGCAGTACGGGCCGTACGAGTTGGGTGCATGATGCCATGGGCAGTAACCAAAGGCGCTCTGATCCTGGCCTACCAAAGCTGGCTCTTGGGACATGGAAAGTCGCCTTTCTGGTGGGGAAGGAGCCTGAGCTTGTGCGTGAGGTTGAGGTACCGGCTAGATATAGTTGGGCTCCAGAACAATCTCCTCGAGAGGGTTTGGGTATTACTCTGGAGTTGCCCATGGTGAGAGGCGCCAAGCTGGTGTGGGTCTAATTTTGGCCCCTCGACTCAGTGCGTGTGTGTTGGAGTTTACCCCAGTAGACTAGAGAGTAGCTTCCCTACACCTTTGGGTGTGGGGACAGACTCTCACGGTCATTTGTGCTTACATACTAAATGGTGGTTCGGAGTACCCAGCCTTAGAGTCCTTAGCTGGGGTGCTGGGAAGTGCTCCAGCTGGGGATTCCCTTATTCTGCTGGAGGTCATCAATGCCCTTCAGAGAAGTGGCCTCTCCAGTCTGAACCCGAGCGGTGTTCTGTTGTTGGACTTCTGTGCTAGTCACAATTTGTCCATTACAAACACCATTTTCGAACATAAGGGTGTCCATAAGTACATGGGCACCAGGACAAACTAGGTCATAGATCGATGATTGACTTTGACTTTTTTTAGTCATGCCATCTGATCTGTGGCCATATGTTTTGGAGTGAAGAGAGGAGCAGAGCTGTCAACTGATCACCACCTGGTAGTGAGTTGGATTAGATGGTGGGGAAAGATGCAGGACAGATCTGGTAGACCCAAACATGTAGTGAGGGTTTGTTGGGAATGCCTGTGTGGGCCATGTTCCACACCTCAGTTGTTGAAGCAGCTGCCTTGAGCTGTGTATGCAAGGCTGTCAGTACTTCTCGCACTGGCCATCCTCGAACTCGGTGGTGGACACCCAGTGTAAGGGAAGCTGTCAAGCTGAAGAAGGAGTCCTATCTGGCCTTGTTGGCTGGTAGGACTCCAGGGGCAGCTGAGGAGTATCGGCAGGCTGCAGCACTGGCCGTTGCTGCTGCAAAAGCTTGGATGTGGGAGGAGTTCGGTGAGCCCTTGGACAGAGACTCTCAATCAGCTCTGAGGAGATTCTGGCAAACCATCGGGTGGCTGAGGCGGGGAAAGCAGCACTTCACTAACACTGTGCTCAGTGAAGGTGGAATGCTGTTGACATCAACTACTGATGTTGTCGGGAAGTGGAAGGAATACTTCTCTGACCTTCTCAATCCCACCAGCAGGTCTTCTATGGAGGCAGCAGAGTCCAAGGACTTTGGGGTTGGTCCGTCCATAACTGGGGCTGAGGTCACCAAAGTAGTTAAAAAGCTCCATGGTGGCAGGACTCCAGGGGTGGATGAGATCTACACTGATTTCCTCAAGGCTCTGGATGTTGTCTGGCTCTCCTGGTTGACACGCCTTTACAACATCACGTGGACATCAGGGGAGGTGCGACTGGATTGGCAGACTGGGGTCGTGATTCCTCTCTTTAAAAAGGGGGACAGGAGGGTGTGCTGTCATTACAGGGTCCTTGCTTTCCTTAACCTTGGGGCGGCTGTGGTAGAGTGGTTAGGGGAGTCGTCCTGGAGCCGGAAGGTCGCCGGCTCGATCCCCGTCCAGTTGACTCTGTCGTTGTGTCCTTGGGCAAGACACCTTACCCACTGATGGTGGTCAGAGGGTCCGGTGGCGCCTGTGTATGGCAGCCTCGCCTCTGTCGGTGTGCCCCAAGGCAGCTGTGGCTACAATTGTAGTTTGCCATCATATGTGTGTGTGTGTGTGTGTGTGTGTGTGTGTGTGTGTGTGTGTGTGTGTGTGTGT